GTGTGATGGTCCATCCCAGATGCCTCCGAGCCCAGAGAAGTCGACGGCGCTTCTGGACACTGTTAACATAGGGCTTCCTTTTGGCACAGTACAGTTTTAACTGGCATTTGTGGATGTAACTACGTATTGTGGTACGTGACAAAGGTTTGCCAAAGTAGTCCTGAGCCCATGTGGTCATATCGCTTATGTTATGCACTGTTGAAGGTGAAAAATACAAATCTCTTCCTATCTTTCTTTGAGGAACATTGTTTTTAAACTTTTCAATAACTTTCTCACATATTTGTTGGCAAACTGGCGATCCTCGGCCCATCTTTGCTCCTAAAGGACTAGACCTTTCTTGGATGCTGCTTTTGTACCAAATCATCACCTGTTGACATCACCTGTTTCAAATCACATCATTATTTAACCAATTTACCTGATTACTAGCCCTAAATTGCTCCTGTCCCAAATTTTTTTGGAATGTGTTCCAGGTCTGAATGACAAGAAAGGATGTATATTTACAAATGAAATGAAGTTGACCAGACAAAACATGAAATATTTTGTATTCATATTGTCTGCAATGAAATACAAGTCAAAGTAAATTTAGAAATCACTACATTCTTTTCTTATTTGCGTTTTCCATACCGTCCCAACTTTTTCTGATTTGGGTTGTATATACTGTATGTCAGTACATTTTGATATAATTATTGGTGATAATCAATAGTTAAATGTTTTAAGTTAGTTAAATATTTAATTGAAACATATCAGTGGGCTTTTTTTTTTATCATTGTGTGTTTTCCTGCACTATGTTTGACAGACACAAGGACATTGCCTGGTCTTGGCTGCCAAAAACCTGTCTCTGCATCTCCACAACACCAAAGAAGTTCAGGGACGGAATTAACATTTTCTTCTTCTGCTCCCCTGCTAAGCAAAATGTCAGACCATTTGAAGTAATACACCATGTTTTTCTTTGTACCTCAATATCACAGCTTTCATTATCAGAGCGTAATGCGGCAGAGATCAACTGGGTACTGTGACCAGCAAAAAGGATCTTGTCTCACACTCTGCATTAAATTATAGACCTACAAAATGGGAGCCTTACATTTAAGAAATAAAAAAAAAGACTAATAAGCCAATAGATTCTTCTTTCAACAAAGAGACGAGGTGTACATTGATTGATTTAATGCTGCACGAGTGACATCTTTGAACATGTGGGAGGACGCCCCCGGTGGACATTGTAAGTGATGATACAGGAAGATGGGACTCAAAGCATAACAAAGCATTCCACTCATCCCGGCGCTGTTTGGCTGTTGTTGCACATTTGTTCACTGTCACTTGCAATAAGTCTTGCTCGTATCCTGTGCCTTGTCTTGTCAAAAGCAATGAGACAGACTTACACGTTATGTCCTAGCATATTGAAACTGGTCTGGCTGCACTATCAATTAACAAAAGCAGCAACTGATTGCATGGACCTCACCCATGCATAAAATCCCATCTCCGATGCCTCTGTAAAGGTAAATTACTCAGACACTTACTATAAAATGTATGTCTCACTATTTAGCAGACATGTGCCAGGCAATAAGGTACAAAAGGTCAGAGACACTGCAGGCTCATATGCAAATATGTAAACAGGGACTCTAAACAAGATGGGTGCTGATCTGATCCCTTTCCTAATATGAGGTGTGAACTAGCACAAAAACTAAAAATGAAATTAGAAACCTTGGTTGTACGGACGTTCAGGATTTATGGGCAGGCAACATTTATAAAAGGTCTGTCTAACATTATAGAGGAAAACATTCCTGCCTTTATAATTTCCCCAAGGCAAACACAAAACACCTGGGAAAGTCAAAGGCATTTTATAAAAAAAGACATGCTGATTCTTCATATAAGTCACCAGCGAGGGAATAAACGAATCCTCACAATGCACATCAGCTGAAAAAATCCCAGCCATAGAATGGACCTCCATATGTTCCGCTCCTCCATTCATCCGCAGTTCAGACACTAATTGGGCTGTAAGTTTGCTTACTCAGATGGTTGACTTTGACAAGTATAAAGAATGTAAAGGTGGTTAAAATTTTGCTCATTTTTGATGACATTTCCACATCATTGCTGCCTGGAGGCTGTTCTGCAAGGCAAAAGGAAGGTTGTTAATCCCACACTGTATGATTTACAAGTGCGAATATGTTTCATTTAGTTGAAACAGAAAACTGCTCAGAGAAAAAGCTCCCATAGCTCATATCATGGTTGAAGGTTTTCAGCTGCTCACTAATGTCTAACCTTTCTTCATCCAGTGTTAATGCTCACATTATATCTCATCAAATTGTATATAAATACATAGCTTAGGCAGATAGCTAATGTCTGCTTTCCACTTCTGTTTTTCTCATTAATTGCTCCTCACGTGGCACATATTGAAAAGTGCAGGTTTATCCTTCACCAGTAAAACAAAGGCAACAACTGAGCAGAAGATCTGATCATTATGCTGAGAATAGTTGAAGTCTTTCAGGGCACTGAAGACAAGTTCATTTATATGCAAATAGTTTTGTGACAGTGCTTCTACAGAGAGGATATCCAGTCCGCAGTAAAAATAAAAAAAAAAATGGAAGAAAAGGAAACGGAGGAAAGGAAACGGTGGTGTTATCTGATTCAGCAGTCCTCTCATTATGGTTTAAAGAATCCTGAATAGACTACTGGGCACCTCTCAATGCAAGGGCACTCAAGTACAAACTCTCCTGCTGATTCACGTCCTGAAACAGGCAAAAGACAAACAAAATACCGCAATAACAGGACAGCCCTTTGTATGCCGTGCTGTTTCATACGCGTCAAATCCTTCCTGTCCATCAAATGCTGTCATCTGTCGTGACAGTCATCTGTCAGTGATGGCACTCTTTGCTCTACTCAAGGCGTCCAGATCGTTTCAGGATTGACTTTTGTGTGTTTTTTTGGAGGTCAGATATTAGCTGGCATGGCATGGCTATCCAGTCCAAGCCCATTTTATTGCACGGTATCTAACGGTTGGCCCAGGATTTGGTACAAGGGTGAAGGCTGAATTTTTAGGATGCAAACAAACATTTGTTTTTGGCTGGATGAAATCAGTTCATCTGTACAGGGGGCAGAGATGATTTTTTAGTGAGATGTCTTGCGTATGTCCTTAAATATGACTTTGAAAGCACCTGGCTAAGCTTTGAGATTTATGAAAAGGGGGACATGCCAGAAGGTGAAACGCAGAAGCAGGGACTTTGGATCTAAAAAGGAAAAGATCTCTCAAACCCACACCTGGTAGCACTCACAGTAACACGGCTCACACATGGAGAGAAGCTCATTTATAAAATGTGAATGTTTATTAAATGTCGACAAGAACATTAAAAACACGTTTTCAAGATTCAGCAACAAGATGTCACTCAGGATTAGGAAGAAAAGCAAATCAAAAAAGTCAGTATGACCTGAAAAATAATCGTTATGATGTATAACCTGCATCTCTGAATAAAGAACATTTTTAAAAGGGCTGGTGTGTTGTGCACATCTCCCATTTTCTTCTTGTTTTCTGCCACAATATAACAGAGAAAATAAATTTTAAAAATGTGCTTTCTCAAGCATTTACAGAAGTCTGACGTTCTTGGACATACAGAATAATAGTACCAAATGACGTGCACAATTTCACGCTTTAAGTATTACATGAGATGCGCAAAACTATAGGATGCGATTGCAGTTTCAATGGTGGCCACTAGGGGTTGCTGAGTTCCTTAAAATCGCACTTTGTCCATTTTTTTTTTTGTTTGAGATAATGAGCTAACTCAGAAAAATACATTTTTATTAATAAGTATTCTGCGCCATTTCTTTCATATTGCACAGCAAAAACATACACACATCCATAGAAGAGAATGGACATATCGACTGAAGAAGCCTTTACTGCAAACAGCGAAATGATATATTTTTACTTTAACAAGGGACCCTGCGTTATTTTTCTTTCGACTAGTTCTCTGTCTCCTTACATCTTTAATACTTTAAAATTAAGTCAGATGGATTTATTAGGCGAATGCCTAATCATTACTTTTTTAAATGCACCGTAAAGTTTGATCCAAAATACAATAACGTTAATTTGCTCTTGAATGTGAAATACAGCGTATTATTCGGCTTACCTTTGACAGGAACCGTTTATTAGGTTTATACTCATTAATTTGTCAACACATGGCTGAAAAAAGCTAACACAGAATGTGTCAGGCAGAATGAGACAGACGTGTGCTGACACTTAAAGAAACGTCAAACCCTGTTGCATGGGCTTACTGTAACTCATCCAGATCATTTGCTGCTGAAAACATGGTTGAATGCTGGCACATATTTACTCTTCGTCGCTTCAACAACCCAGCTGTATCATATCTGACCTCTGTGTGGATTTCCCATCCTCTCGTTGTGCATAATTATTGTATAAAAATGTATTTTACATTCCCAAATCCTAAGGTAGAGATGAGATGTCATTGGTCACTGGAATCCCACCAGATGCAGCAAAATGGTTTCACCTTGCACAATGATGGGTAGTTATGTTGTATTTATGTTTAAAAATAAAAATTCCATGCTTTAAAATATACACATTTTACAATGAATTAATATATTTTAAAAGCCTTTATTATATAATCATATATAACTAAATAAAAACTGATAACCTAAAAAAATAATACTTGCATGTTATTTTATAGCAATAATTTCAGAATAGTACTCCACATTCAACTAATCCTGTATTTACTTTTTGTTAAATTAAAACTGACTTGACCCGATCATCAAGTTTCTGAAGATCTTCTCCAGTGACTGTTGGTTAGACTTTCCTTGTGCTCCTATGTACTGAAATATGAATTTAGACCAGACGACACACCTTACAAAGCCAATAAAAAGGTGCTACTTCTGAACCATATACTGTATTTATTTTCTAGGACTTGATTGTTTATCATTCTCCACGTAGCCCCCCCCCCCCCCCCCCCCCCCCCCCAAAAAAAAAAAAAAAACCCCCCCCCTTTGTTACCCCCCCCCTTTTCTTTGCAAGCAAACTGTATTACTACAGACGGTGTTTCAAGGAAACTGTAAAATAAGCGTAAGGGGATTATAATTAAATGAAGAAAGAGCAACAAATATTAGAATATTAGAAAGTTGCCCCTATGAATCAGTGTCGGATTTAAGTACTTTTGTAAAGAAGACATACTCAGTGCCAAATCCAAACGTTTTTTAAGGCTACGCCTCATATGTCTCATAGGCTCAAAACAAAAATCTCCATGCTAGTACAGTAGAACCACAACAGAATTACAATGTTGATGGTGTATTTTAGAGGGACTGAAAACAACATAGAAGCAGCAAACTGAAAACAAATTGAAAATGTAGCCTTTTCCACCCTGCTGTCACCATATCTCAAGGCAGTGTGACCCCCTTCCCGAAACCAGTGTTCACTGCAGAGTATGGGGTCCTCACTGTTGTGAGATGCTTGAAAGCTCTGCTCTCCTGTTGCCACAAGAAACAAGAGTTTGCAACTGGGGTCCAAGCACAATGAATAGCTGACTTGCTACTCCTAATATCCCAAATGCTGTGCTCCAAGGGCTCCATGTAACTCCAAATAATTAGTAATAGGAACAGGACAAATCCTATGTTACTTCCAATGAAAACGAAAGAGACCCAGTCAAGAGAAAAGCAAACCATCAGGGTAGCAGAAGAGCAGGCACATCTGTCTCTGCTTTGACATGAGCCACCAACCACAGAGTAATATTCTGAATAATAAAGCTAAGACTCCAAGGCAGGAGAGATAGACTGCTGGAGGTGAAGGGGATGGATGAGCTAAACAGCAGGGCGGAGCCACAAATGAGAGCATGGTTAGTCTGCAGTATTAGTCATAGTTATCTTAAATGTCACGAGAGTATTATTCTTTGCTTTCCAGATCTTCATGATGTGCACTTGGCCTTGCTGGTCTGAAGGACCACATCCCTGGTCAACAGTGTGCCATCCTGAAGAACACAAACACATCCTCCCCAAAGGAGATACATCCAGGATCAATGGAAAAAAGGAAAATGAGTGAATATCCGGGATTAGCAGCTGTTTTTATATGTGTGGGCAACATCCATGTAAATCATCTAAACAAGTTCTACTTTTTCATGACACAGGTATCTTTTTGGACAGGTATTATCTTGTCACACACAGGAAAAGAAAAGCAATGAAATCCCAAGTGCACAGGGTGACTATCCTCAGAGATGTGGAAACACCACATTACTACCTCTGGTGATGCTGTGTCATTCGGCCTCTAGTAAACTAACCAAGTACCCAGTATGCTCATTAAAGGATTTTGTCAGATAAATGTGATGCTTTGATATCCCTTGCTTTTATCCATGTTGCTTGTGCCAGAATAGTTCTTATCAGAAAACTGGATCGGGTGTGTTAAATATCCAGTCCCTACCATTAAACAGGTGTGTCTTTTTAGGTGTGATTGTGGTAAAACCCTACAGAGAAAGATCTCCCATCACAGCGAAATGTGTTAAATGTGTGTTCTCACAGCAGACTGCAGTGAAGCAAGGTCAGACCGTTACTTTCATCTGCCCCATTTGAAAGGTGGTTCAGTCTGGGAGAGTTATGGTGGGCCAGCTGGTGCAGTATCACAACATCAATATCAACCAACAAGCATGTATCCAAATAATAGAAAAGTGCAAACAAATCAATAAGAAAACCTATGACCTCTGACCCTGGTAGGCGCAGAAATCCAACACGGTTGCCCAATTTGAAAACACACAACTACACATATGTTAGCTAAACTCTACAGCCACTCGAAAGGAATAACATTGGGGATGAGTGCAACAATGCAGTAAATTATTTGTCAGTGTTTAGAGATACAATCATTACAGTAAGGGCAATAGTGCTGACCTAGTACTCAGCTACTCAGCGAAACACTGCCCAATGATGAGTTAGCAAGAGCAGGAATGCGTCAGAAGGGTGAACGAGGGTCCACGAGAAACAGAAGGACTACTAAATCATCAAAAAGTCCTCATTATTCAACAATCAAAGTCTCTAATAAAGACAGCCTGCTTGTCAGTGTTTTCCCTCATGGTTGTGTTTTTTTTTCTTTTTTAAATCTCCCCTCCGCCTCACTTGTTCTCCTCTCTAGTGGGTCGGATCTTCATCTCGGCGAACTTGAGCGAGTACTGCCAGCCGGTCCAGGAGGACCACTCGATGCCGTCGGCGTAGGAGGTGTGCTGGCCCTTCAGGTACTGTCCATTCAGGTTGGACGTGTGGCAGTTCCGGTACCACCAGGCCCCGTGGTAGAAGGAGGCACAGTTATTCTCCGAATGGTCGTTGTCCTTGTCCTTCGTGGTAAACTTCATCCCGTTGTGCTTCAGCAGCGAGTCACCTGCACAACACACACCCACAGAGGACACATGCACAGCCCACATATAAACACACAGTGAGGCTATTGTGTTGCCCGACATCTCTCTGCAGCTCCTCCATCACTTCCCCCATTTTCTCCCCTCCTTCCCCCCACTATTCCCCTCCTGCACGTAGGGTGGTCTGACGCTCAATCACTGGTAACTGATTACCAAGAGTCTTCGACAGGGGCTGCCGTGCAAAAGTATAAGGGCTAAGATTAAAAAGCGGGAAAAAATACCTGTGACATAGCGTTTAATTTTTAAACAAAGTAAGGGTGCCAAGGATGACACCCTGTGGAGTCAGTGAGGGTGCGAGGAATCAGGGGAGAGCAGAGGGATAAGCTGGTAATGCTTCATATTGGCTTCAGTGATGTATGTCTCTTGGGGATACGGCTGCAGGCAAAGTAATTTAATCCCATCCCTGTGGTACATGACTTTGTTCTATGTGTGAGAGGTGGGGGGTAGGGAATTTTCATTTTTGTCACAAAAGCGTTTTTACGGTCCTTGTTCTACTACATTTTTTAAGGTTGATTACTCTAAAAATTAGACTGAAATAAAAAAGTATTAAAACTTATTAAATCAGCATGATACGGCAAAGTATGATGTGATTTAATAATTCACCTTAGGCATGACATATCACTGAAATTGTAGTATAATTTGTGTTTTCTGTCAGCTTAAATACCCCTGGGATTTTTTACCATGTATTAATCTGGCATTTCAGCAGCATTAGAGAGCAACACCACTGGGGAAAAAGTAATGAAAATGACAACGACAGAGTGACCTAGAATGACCCCAGAACCACAGGTTATCTTCATTTTAGCCTCCTTTGAGATATGAACATGTAACCATCGCACGTTCCCTTATCCAGTGTTCCACTCTAATACTCATAGACAGCGATCTAGTGTTCCACTCTAATACCCATAGACAGCGATACTATTTGATTTTACAACAACAGAACCCCAGATTGTAGTTATCATCACAGGTCTCTTATTTTGGCTCTGAATACTTCTTAAGTCGCACCAAAATATGACAAAATTGAACAACATAATATTTTTAAGAATTAGAACACAGCAGTATTGTTTATGCTTATCCTTGACACCAAGGTTTGTTATTCCGTACAAAACTGCAAAGAAAAAGTCTGTCAAAGAAGCAGGATGTATCATGAATGTCAAAACACTGAATGACATTTTAACCTTCCCTGCTTGTGAGAGCAGGCTGACTCCGTATTCTGCCCGTATGAACATTCCCAGGAGTAATTTGGCGAGGTTTATATTTCAGACGCTCTTTTTGCATGTGACTTCCTCAGGAGCTATTACTGTACGTAACAGGAAGCTGCCTTGTTTTGGTCAGGAAGTCAAGCTAAAAGCATCATGGGAAATACCTAGATATAACTGATGGCCTTATAGTGTGGCTATGAATTCAAAATCACTTTAATAATGAATGTACTGAGAGATCACGTGCCCCCCCCCCACTAGGTCCATCTCCTTCATTAATACACACTGTTGGTTGTGAAGCTTTATTGAGAATTAATCAAAGATGAAAATAAATGCATTCCCTTTTAGCCTCGCTAATGATAAGGTCAAAACATTTCTGCTCGGTAACACAGTGTCATTAAGGAGCTCGTTTGATGTTCTGAAAGCAGCCGCTAAAGGTGTTTAAGGAGGAGATGATGAACCCGCATCCCTTTCCTGAATACACATGCAGAGACGGCTCCCAGGACCACACATGCTGACACAGTCAGAGCACTTCACTCTCATTGTCCTTACTCATTCAGCAGACGTTATCATCCAAGGTAACTTTCAATGCATGCATTATTCGTACTATAACAAAATAATTAATAAGGCAACGAAGGTTAAAAATCATGCACAACTTCAATGATTCAGACCATTTTTTTCTCTGGAAATTGATTTCTCAAGTCCAGTTCCTCTAACCAATACTTCACAACACACACACTTCACACATTAATGTCTTTCTTTTTTAAGCTCGTTCAATTGAAATATAAATGAATCAGGACACAAAGACCAAGTGACTGAAAATATTGGAAACTGATGATGCATGCCAATGATAGATATTAAAATGTGGCTTGTTAATGACATAGGTGGGGAGACAGGGGATATTTTCATGCTAATTTAGGTGTCCAAAGAAGCTTGTTTGTGTCTTTCTGCATGACCCGATTGTAAACTTCATTGCAATGCCAGGAAAGCAGCTTATGGCTTCGTTAGCTGTGCCCTTTCCAGCGGCTCCAGCAAAGGTCGGGAGACTCTCCTAGCCAACTAACAGCCACAAAGCTACAGTGGCCTGCGAGCACTGGGCCGGGTAGACCCCATTAATGTTAAAAAGAGCTCCATGCGATAGCAGTGCTGAGGCACGCTCCATGGCAATTTGCCTGAACTCTCCTCCAGGATGAGGCGTGAGGCTTGATAATGTATGGGACCAAGTCAGCACCACAGCTGGAAGTCTGGAGAAGGGATTCCATCTCTGGATGAACTGTGAGCACCGGCTGCCATAGCGCACTGTCTAGCACTTGAATGCAGATTTACACGGTTGTTCATCTCACAGAGTTTAATGCATAAACAAATCTGCTTCTTTTTTTTGCTACAGGAAAAAACCCAAACACTTGGCAAAAGGCTAGTAGATGATAAAGTTCCCATCCAACAGCGACACCCACCAACAGAGAAGCATGTGCGGCTCCGCTGGGGAGGGGAGAGCATGACATGCAATTGGGCTGTCACAGCTGCCAGGTTAGCGCAAAGCTAAGAATGCTGCTTCTCATTTCGTTGTTTCCATGGAGATTCCGGGTTTCAGGTTTAGCGACTCAGAGACCAGACAATAAAGCAAACTGCGCTCCAGATGAGCATTGAGATATCATTTAAACCAAACTGGATCATCTTTGTGTGGAATACTCAATAATAAAATCAACCCTACTAAGTGATTGGTTACAGGGTGGGAGGGAATGTCATGACATACGGGATGAAGGAATTGAGGGCAGGTGTAGAGGCCAAACAAACATGGGGTTCATTGAACATAATGAACAAAGACTGCAAATAAACAGGATCGCAAGGGATCAAAACAGGAGGACTAGAACAGGGGAGAGAACAGGTAACACAAGGGCTTGACATTAATTACTGGACTGGGGATGACGAGACAAACAGGTTCTTAAGTACAAAGACTGACAAGGAGCTAAAAAGAGGCAGCTGGGAGTAATTTCTACATGAGGGTTAGGAACGAGAGGCAAGACAAGAGGGATACACTTGTTCGGACCATGACACAGGCAGGGATATGACAGTGAAGAGGAGAACTTGCCTGCAACTAATTTGAGTGTAGTAATAATAATAAGGATTATAAGGAAAGGTGGTAACAGGGGGCGAGATCTGAAAATGCCCTTTTGAGCAAAAGGGATCTAACTGTTGCCTTCCAATTTCACTCTTCATAAAGTACCATATATCAGGCAAAATCTCTTCAAGAGATTCACCACTAAAACACACATGACCTTTAGAAATAGAAAGTTCAAAATCAATTGTAGTACCTCGAGTGGACATTAGAAAACCCACACGATGGGATATTAAACCATAACCTTGAATTCAGTGGCCAGATATAGCAACGTGCTTGCATAAGGCAGCTTCACTGATCGTTAACAGCGCTCACACCTACCACACATGCAAACTTACATACAAGCCTCATAGTTGCACAATATGCAGTACTATGCCGTTTGAGAGTAGCGCAAATGTAGCCTCACAAAACTGTAATTTTCAATTAGCCATCTAATGATCTAAGCTAGAAGAGTTGAGCACTGAGCAAACTTATGCAGATCTATGTCTGCTTATCTTCATCTAACTCAGGAAAATTTGGATGTATACTAGACCTGCGGTGCCGGAATAGTCAGCGACAGTCAGGGGGTAGCCGTCGTCATCTGGGTCCACTGAGAACAAGCCGACTCCAAATGTCCCGTACTGGGCAAAGGCTGTGCTGTTCTCAAAGTCCTCCAGGTCAATGCGTAGCTCATAGTTGGCCTGGATGGTCAAGGCATGGATCCGTTTCATACCTAATTAGGGGATGTGAAGAAAGACAATTGGGCAGATTTTAGACACAAGGCCATTCAGAACGTGCACAGTGGATTGCAGTCTGGCAGCATGTATTTAGTAGAATAGCCAGATAGCCGTTGTTAGGTAACTCCTTGCATGACTTATTATACACTATAGGAAGAGAAAATGGCCGCCAGCTTCTTGGATGACTGATATGAGGCAGCATGCTGTCTAGCTGTCACGGTAAAGTCCAGCATGACATGCAGAGATCGATATCTCTTGGAGATGTTAATTCCAGCATAGGAAAAAGGCATCTTCCATACTATTTCCGCTGAAATCAAAAAGTGGATAGATGAGTGGCTGTTTTGTGCCTGTAGGAAAAGATCTGGCTCCTTTTTTATGATTCCGTCCCCCCCCCCCCTTTGCAGGCAATGAAGTGTTATACATGACTGACCACTAAGGCAGAAAATCCATTTTTGAATCCTTTGCATCTCCTAATCTGAGGGCCTTGCAGCTGTTCTAGACAATAGTGGATATTCTGGGAGCCGCTTCTTTGTTTGAACATACGTTTTACTGAGCACCACAGAAAACTACGACCTGTGCCTAGCAGATGTTTACATACCTTTGTGGAAATGAGGAGATCAGAAAATTACTCTCAGCGTGCAGTTTTGCGCACTGCGTATGTACATTCCACTCTCTAGTTAACGCTTCGCCTAAATTATGGATAGTGCCCCCCCCCCCCCAAATGGCTTCACAATTACCTTCAAGAAAAATCGATTTTATATTAAGTTAAGCTCTGTTGGCTCAGGTCTGTAAAAAGAACTTCATATCAGAGCTTAATATCAAGTGGCTGTGGACTGAAACAATAGATCCCTACCACTAACCACCGCCACTGAAAAGTAACATCTGTTCCAGCACTTTCTAGATAATAAGAAGGACATTTACTCACAGCAGTCATGAGTGGGGATGGGAGTGAGGTGACACCCGAGGACTTCATAAGCATAAACAGCACTTCAGTGACCTCAAAGCAAAACCCACAGTGGGTGGTATAACACAAAAGGTCACAATATTACTGAGCCTGTCAGCGGACGACCCTATACAGTCATTTGTACTTATACATATTCATGATGAGCCAGTTTAGCCATCAGGCTTTTAGTTTCAGTAGTATTTTAATGAATGACATTCGCATTCAAGCTTAAATGTACTCCACAGAAATAACCCAGAGAGCTAGCTTATACTAGTGGCCAAATAATATCAAAAGCATAAGCCATGCCTATCTGAAGACAATTTTAGAAATGTTTGACAGTCAATTTGGTTGACTGTCTTTACAATTTTAATACTATATGGAGGATAAAGAAAAACAGCATTTATGACTGGTGCTTCTTTGTTTGCCAGTTTGCTATGCACTTGTGATCTTGACCCAAATGAAGGAATATATGTCAGCATAACGTATGCTGCTGAATTCTTTTGTGAATATTCAGGGCTGATTTTGGCCAGCATAAATCTAATCCTTAGCATCCGACAAAAGTTGGGAGGAAACATGTTAAGGGAGGGCATCATGTCATCATCAAAAGAAGTGGATGCGTTCCGATGCCTATCAATCAGCAGCTCTTACGTTGGGGAATGTCTGGGACAGCAGTAAATCTTGCCCAAAGCGTGTGTCCTGTCAAAACCTGCAAGGTGAAAAATGTCAACAAAGAACCCTTGAAGAAGACCCAAGGATCTGCTGGCCTGTTTCACCCCAGGTAAGCTCAGCATTCATGACAGGAGTATTAAGAAGACATGCAAGAAGGGGCAGAACAGTAAAGTGAAAAATCACCGCAGGCGAAGAAGATGAATAATACAAAAAAAAATCTCTTGATGCTAATAAATACTAGGAAATGTTTAATAGACAGAGCAGGTGTAAGCCTACTTCAGAATGGTCAACAAACAGGAGAATTATGCTAGTCTCACACAAACATATGAAGAGAGAGAGACACATCATTGGGCTGTAGCAGCTCCGCTTGGAGGACCAGTCCAGAAATCCTCCAAAGAACTGTACAAATCTGATGAGTAACCACAGGCAGCTTTTGGTTGTGGTCGTGGCTGCTAATGGTGTTATGGCCAGTTAAGGCTTACACTTAGTGTTAGCTGGACAATCCATTGTCACACCTGGAGAGTAGTTGTTGCATAACTTCCTTCACCAAATAAACGGTATGTATTAAATGCAGTTCTGTTTATTTGTTCAGCATCCCTTTTACGCTACCATTTCATATTAGCTGAGGATATAGTAACCTTCCTAGTGGAATACACAAGCATGCAGAAAATCCATATCTCTACAGGGCTGAAAGAACAACATGGCTTATATACACTTCTGCAGTATTTAATTCTATTTAATATAAGTTGATGTATGCCTCCTGAATGTGTGGCCAGGGTCTTCCCGCTTGGCTCCCCGTAATAAAGCCACAGAATTAGACATTAAATGTCAGTTCAGGTGTGCTTTGAGCATTTATGTGTGTTCAGACTCTCGGTTGTTCATTTCTAAACAATACTGTTGATTAACTTTTGGGCAGTTCCATAGAGAGAAAATGCAACTGAGAGCTTGTGTGCTGCAAATCTAAGTAATAATATTATGAAGAAAAAAAAAAACGACGACAGAAATTAGTATCATGCTCATTCCAAATGCAGGAAGATTACATTTCTCCTTGCTTTTTAAAATCACCCTTGTGTTTTTCTCCCAAGATAGATCCATCTGCCATTGCGCTATCCATCTGTCAGAGGGCACACAGGAAGCTCCCAGGGAGGTACAGAGCGACACAAGGCTGAATCCTGGGGTTCCTATGGGCAAATTAGTGTGTGTTGGGAGTGTCTCTTGCAAACAACACAGCATAATGTGATACATACTCATGCCAAGCTGCTTGGGTTAAGATAAGAAGAACTGAATCCCAGTGTTACTAACAGCCACTTTATCAGGAATGACTGGAGGCAGAATTAAAGGGGAATTCTGCTGACACTCAATTTTTTCAATATGTTTTACTTCAATGTTTTTTAAAATGTTCGTATTTACTGTACTAGCAATGCAGTCCAGCATTTCTTTTGTTTTCATAAGTGATTTAAATGTATTAGCAATTGAACTGGCGGTTTTGTTGTATTGATCACATTTGTTGCTCAGTTTGATTTATTTCAGTTTCGTTCAGTTTGCAAAGAAGGTATCAGCATGACCTAGGCCAGTGGTTTTCAACCGCGACGGTATTGCAGGGGGGCCGCCAATTATTATTAATAGAAATTGTAATATTGTTAATATAATAAAAAATGTCTAGTCAAAATCAAATAAATCATAATTTGATATATAATTAAATAAATTACCAGTTTATTCAATAAAGACAATTAACAGCCTTGCTTCCGAGTACTTAGATAACCCGACACAAAAAGCGGGATCGTTTAAATTCTTTTGCAGTGGGCCGCGGAAACGTATGTGTTTGGCTGTGTGGGCCGTGAGTTAAAAAAGGTTGGGAACCACTGACCTAGGCTAAACTTCACTTTGCCATAGCACCAGAAGCATGCAGTATGGCAGACGGAGGAGTGCACACTGCAGTGATTCGGGATAAACTTGTCTTTAAGTGTAAATATAAAAAGATAGGTACAGCCATAATACAATGATAAACAGTCCACCATCAGAATCTACTCTTCATTAAATTCCAACCAAAATCTAAACACAAATAATCCAAGGTCCTGGGGAGGCAGAGGATTCAATGGCAGAGTGAAGTATGGGGCCTGTGTAGTGAAGCATACGACATGGGGCCTGTGTAGTGAAGCATACGACATGGGGCCTGTGTATGAAGCATATGACATGGGGCCTGTGTATGAAGCATACGACATGGGGCCTGTGTAGTGAAGCATACGACATGGGGCCTGTGTATGAAGCATATGACATGGGGCCTGTGTAGTGAAGCATACGACNGAAGCATACGACATGGGGCCTGTGTAGTGAAGCATACGACATGGGGCCTGTGTATGAAGCATATGACATGGGGCCTGTGTAGTGAAGCATACGACATGGGGCCTGTGTATGAAGCATACGACATGGGACCTGTGTAGTGAAGCATACGACATGGGGCCTGTGTACGAAGCATACGATATGGGGCCTGTGTACGAAGCATACGACATGGGGCCTGTGTAGTGAAGCATACGACATGGGGCCTGTGTAGTGAATAAGAGGTTCATTAAAATGTGTTCCACTTTCAGGTCTAAGCAGGGACAGGAAGCGGGTTGTCTTAACCTATCACTAATTTGCAAATCTCTTTAAGGCTGGATTATTTCTCGTACTCTCTCTGCACGCCTCCCTCTTTGGGAAGGAGATATCTCTTGTTGACATCACGAAGGTACAGAAAGCAAAATGTTCTACACACTGCCTACAATGGCATTTCTTATGGGTAAGCGAGGCATCACCCAATAATATACAGCATGTATTTCTTTGGCTTTTCAGCAGTCACTGTTAGCTTTAGCTTTGCATATGAACTCACTTTCATCATAACGGCAGAAAAACTACAGCAATATGGACGGTCACCAAGAAACCAGAAAGAGAAGAGTTTTTTCACATGATCACCTTCGTCTGAGAAAACGTCTGAGAAATGTCAGTAATCTTCACTGTAAATTGGGAAACTGCAATTTAATATGGGCCTCCTTTTCTCAGATTAGCTCATATAACATACTTGCAAACTCTATGTTTCTTGCATAGTCTTCCAATCTCAGTTTCAGTTTCAGAGTCTTCTGATCAATTTCAAACACAAATCTGAGTTTAAGTGATTAGAATACTTAATAAAATATGAGGGATAAGAAGTTCATACAATATTGGATAGGAATTAACAGCAATCGATCCATTAGCATAGAGTCTCCAAAAGCTAATAAAAAATAACACATTTCCAAGGGGCTGTCTGAAGACTTTTTAGTTATGATACACTTTCATATTGATCATACTCGGGATTGGAAGCTATCATACTTTTAGCTTTTCAAAAACTGATACCTCTGTGCCTCTCCTCGC